CAGAGGAACATCTTAGTGATGCTACTCTCTATCGCCCATCCTCTGAAAAGGAATATAAAAGTCAATACCGAAAACTAAACAATCAGTGGGTCAGCGTGGCAAAGGCTGCGGGTTTAAAATCATCGGTTATTTCGCACTTTAAAATCGATAGACCAACATGTCCCGGATAGACCAACATGTGCAAGGATAATGACTTTTAAATTGTTACAAGATTCACCAGCAAAATATTTTCTACTTGTGAAGGAAGCACTGTCACTAAGACAAAAGATTGTGTCGTTTTCTTGTTCAGCAATCGCGAGGTTTTTAAGCAGCATACATTTACTTCCATAAAAAACACAATACAATACAACGCTAGCTGACGTTTCGGCAGTATCGCCTTCTTCAGAGCCNCGAAAGTATTTTGCTGGTACATCTTGTAATAGTTCCCAGGATCGACTTTCTCTTAACCTCGGCATTGGAATATGAATGTGTTGTTTTCTTGTTCAGCAATCGCGAGGTTTTTAAACAGCATACATTTACTTCCATAAAAACACAATACAATACAACGCTAGCTGACGTTTCGGCAGTATCGCCTTCTTCAGAGCCGTTTTTTCGTGACTTCCAACGAGGAAGTTTAGAACAGCTTCGTCAACCACATGCGACTATAACCAGCTGTTCTAAACTTCCTCATTAGAATTCACGAAAAAGCGATGGGTTTTTCGAGAAGCTGTTGGTCGTGTAATTACCAAAGAGTCTTTCGTCTTTGTGTAAGTGTTATTGAAGCGTTTGGCCTAGTAGATTGTACATCAGAATACCCTTCCAGGCTCTGAAGAAGGCGATACTGCCGAAACGTCAGCTACTGTTGTACTGTATTGTGTTTTTTTATGGAAGTAAATGTATGCTGTTTAAAAACCTCGCGATTGCTGAACAAGAAAACAACACATTCATATTCCAATGCCGAGGTTAAGAGAAAGTCGATCCTGGGAACTATTACAAGATGTACCAGCAAAATACTTTCGACTTGTGAAGGAAGCATTGTCACTAAGACAGGAGATTGTCTTAGCAAGACAGCAAATCAACTTTCTCCGCCGCTGTTTTCAACATCGAATGGTGCCGAAGTTTATAAAACGAAAACGACTTCACGAGATATGCGGTCAACCAGAGGAAAGCCAACAAGTACGAGGCATCGAAATGGAACTACTTCGAGCTGCATTACGAAGCAAGCAGAACGAGAGTTTGCCAGAATGAAGAAGTGTGCAACGAAGGAACATTTTTGTGCTTTGTATTTGGAGGATCGCCTTTGGAGGAGGATAGTTGGTGGGTCNGAGGCATCGAAATGGAACTACTTCGAGCTGCATTACGAAGCAAGCAGAACGAGAGTTTGCCAGAATGAAGAAGTGTGCAACGAAGGAACATTTTTGTGCTTTGTACTTGTATTTATACTATATATATATATATATATATATATATATATATATGTGTATACATATGGCTCTCCAGCAACAAAATAACCAAGCACGAGCTCTAGCACTGCACGCCACCACCACGTAGTAATAGCGTATGGCTGAGCGCCTGTCATCGCAGTCGTCAGTGAGAGGCAATCGGTTCGCAACCGCGTCAGCAAGGGACAGCCAAAGTTGGTGATTCTGGTTGTATAAAGCGGACGCAACATCGTAGAGACGTAGTTGTTGCTTGCGATGGTTGTATATGACATTGCGAGTGTCAAGTACTTCCCACAATTTTGTAGCCTTCGTCACTTCGTACTACCTTGGCGCTTCCATACCGTCAGAAATAATGGCAGCGTAGTACTTACATCGTTTGCAAAGGAGGGGGTTACTCCTAATACTTAACCTTTGAATGGATTTCGGCTGCTTTGATGTAAATTCTACCAAGAACTTAACAGTATATAGTGAACTTCTACAAAACTTCGCCTAGTAGAAAATCTTTTAAGAAACCGTATTGTGACGACGAGGGTAATCGATAATCTCGACTTTAATACGATTGTGTGTAGTCAGTATACACACATCACAGTAAAGTAACCGAATGTGTTTGCAGAACACCAGGTGAAGCAAAAACAGACTTTGTAACACTTCATAGATCCGCATGCTTTTATTATTCCCGCTTGCATCACTTCGCCTTTCAGTGAAATTAAAGTACTGGTTGCAGAGGTACTGCAATAATACTACTAATAACACAAGTATACCAAGCACCCAAAATCCACTGGTGGACAAAGGTCATTAAAAGATATAAGACAAAGAATCCAGATTATCTCCCTTAGGAATGGCACATATATTTCACTACATTAAGCACTGTAATCACCACTGTATATACATTTGACCCATATAACGAGTTGCGGTGGCGTACTGATACAGCGTCAGTTCTCAGACCCCGTGGACATGAAGTGTTGCCTGGAACAGGATTCGTGTTCGAACCAAGATCATGTGTGTACTGTACAGCACCTATGACCACTGTTTCACAGGCCGTAGAGCCCATTATTCCTTTAGCCTTTAACCGATTATTCCCTATAAAGACTATCACTTAAAAGACGAAGTAACAGTCAATTCTATAGGAACACTGGGATATGATGAAAACTTTAATTCATCGCATTTTTGTTGAGCGAACGCGAGGTCTTATTATTCTTTATTTACGAATAAGCTGACGTTTTGGCGGATTTCGCCTTCCTCAGAGCCTGGAAAGGTCAAGTTGACAGCAATCTTTTCGGCCAAACACCTCCATAACCAAACAAAGAAACTCTAAACCAAGATTTCAATCACATTGAACACAGCTTTGCACACTCACCCCTTTCTATGAGGTTTCCACTAAGTATGTCACGTAGAGACCAACCGCACAGAAATCACATGGAAGCATAATGTGCCCCTCATTCTTCCCCTGCGGTTCATTTTTGGATTCCTGGAATTAATCCAGAATGCCTCGAGAGTTTTTCGCGCCTGTGTTCTTGATTCGCGTGCGAGCATCGTGACACATACTTCAAAGTCCTCATCTTATTCGTGAATAAAGAATAATAACACCTCGCGTTTGCTCAACAAAAATACGAAGAATTACTTGATCAATGCCGAGGTTAATAGAAAGTCGGTCGTGGCAGTTACTGCAAAATAAAAACTTTAATCAATGACGAAGATAACATACACAATTTTTGATTAAAAACCCTCTCCTGGAACACGCGTACACACATATACAAAATCTATTCCAAATTGAAGATAAACAACAGCTATTGAATACTTGTTGAGAGGAGTCAGAAGAGAATTTCATGACACAGAAGAAAAAAAAAGGTGCTACAGTCCGACAACATGTCTGATATTTTGCGATGATGATGACGACGACGATGATGAGAAACAGGCGACAAAGTCAGTACTTAGCGCATTCACCACACACTATTCGTTCACAAACCAAGCGCTGAAGCGACTTATCACACCAAAAACTAATAGAGCAGAGTAAAAAAGAAAAGTATGCATGAAGATGATACACGGAACGTTGTCTAAAGTGAGCAAATAGGAACCCACAATTGCACAACTCCCTAAAATAGAATCTGCCGAGGACCAATGATATTGTAGGATTTAGAGCTAGCACTAGCAATGCTGTCTGATTAATTTATTGAAATTTTAACTACCACAGATTTCTTGAAAGTATTTGAAACTATATGAGGAATGCATATTACATCAAGTTAAATATAAGCACTGACTAACGTCGTTATTAGGTGTTTTCCTACATTTCACGAACCGTCTGAAATAATTTACTGTCCTAACGAATGACGACAAACCTAGTGACATTAACGGGGAGCCTTACGTCTTTAAACAGTTTACTGAAAACTGATAGATTATGGTATCCTCTGCAGAAAGTTACATTCAAAACTCGCCATCATCTGGAAATAATAAGACGCTAATAGAGAAACTAAGTGGATATCAATGTACGATCACAAAGAATTCTTAGGAGTACAGTGGTAAACAAAAATAACACGAATTTAATAAGTATCATAATCTCGAAAAACAATTACAAACCAAAGCAGTGACCAGCCATAACAAACCACATGATTTTTTGAACAAGAGCACTTTTGTTGCAAAAACTAAACCTTGATTTATTTGAATGAAAAGGGATAACCTAATAGGTAGACGATCGCGCTAAACAAGGAGACTTTAGGCATGAGGGAACGTAAAGCGACTGTGACATGCAAACACCAATGAGAAAGCCAAAAAATTGAAGTACGTCACGGTCAAAAAGCTGCGAACATATACGAGTAATACTAGAACGGAAAGGACGTTGAATGAAGGTCTTGCAAGAAAATCGTGTAGGCTGAGTCAGGAATTCAGTCAATCAACGATATCTGTGCGAAGCCAGTCAACGTCCGCTCGTCGGGAATCTGAAACCGATTGCGGAAACTACATAGAAAGTAAGAAATGGTCAGACCAGAACGAAGGAAACCCTACAAAAAGTGGTAGAACAAACACCATTTGAAGAAACTGTTACGACATCTCAACTTTTGCTCTATAAAAATAAAAAACATTCGACATAATCGCGACCATGTTGGCTTCTCGACAACTAGAACCCTTGAGGAGTTTTGCATCTAGGACTTCTAGAAGAAAGTATGCTCTATCGCTATACGCATAAATATAATTTTTCAAATGGTATTCTACTTTACGAGTATTTAGAATTCTACTTTGCCAAAACGTGGAGAAATCAACAAGCAAAAATGGGTTCAGATTCTTATAATTTTTAATGCAAGAGCACCAGCCATAAATCGAATAACTCGCGGTTAGCACTGTTTTTCTAGATGAAACCCTTGTTGTTCAGTTGGCCGCGCTAAAATAAATACAAGCGTGGACGAAAAACGAAGAAAAAGAGATCTAGAAAATAGAAATATCGCAGCATAATAAGAAAACTTGCTTCATCCTCAATTGTAAATCTTAATAGTTTTCATTTCAAACGATGTTTTGAAGGAACAAAATATTTTTTCAAGTATATATATATATATGCCATCGCAAAGGCGTTAATAAATTCCTGCCTCATAATTAATATGTTGTATAAGCAAAACGTCACACATTCTAAAACAAAAGTAGGATAAACAAAAATATATAGGAAAACCTTCAGTCGAAAGGCAAATCCATATTCGGAACACAAGGTTCCAAACACTTATGTATAACACAATTTTAAGACAGTATTTCACAATTACTCACTTCATTTGGAGCTACACCTGAGTTGAGTGCGAACGTCACCGATCGTTTATCACTTTTCTGCTCGGCGAAATCAATAAGCTTTTGCAGATTTGCAGCGACGATAACCAAGTCGTGACAGTCTATCAGTTCAGCCGTTACTAACTCATGTGCGATGCCTTCCACTAAAATACCAATAACTTAAATATCAACAACGTGCTCAAATAGACCACGGAACGAATATAGCACTGATCAAGGAACAGAATACGACGTTGTTTGTGCATAGAATTTTCCTCTTAATATACAGTACTTTATATTATAAACAGAACAAAGGGCTCCAAATCCTATGAAGACGTGGGAATTAGCTAGATAGGGGGAGTCCATAACTAAGTTTGGCATTCTTCTGATATTCTCTGTCTGTAATAATGCCACAGTGAGATGGTCAATTTTTTGTGAATGTTGCCTATAATATAATGAATAGTTCAAAACATCCGTCACGACCTATAAGACATCAACACGATACAAAACAGATATACCAAATGAAGAAAATAAACTAAAACAAAATTTTATCACACAGAGACAAGGAAATGTAAACATGTTCAGGTAAGGTGCTCAGTGTTATAAAGCATGTCAAAAATGTTGTTTTTCATTGAACAGGAGAGCTACCTCATTTCTGAAAAAAAATGGAGACTTTTAGCGGAAACATGAGTATCAGAAAAGGTCGATACCTAGGATTTCCACCTGTGGCGATTTGCTATTCTAATACACATCCTACGCAGCAAAACCATACTAATCTCCTTATATTAAACTACAATAATTAAAAGACTTGATAAATATAATAAGAATAAGGGTTAGTAAATCTGAAAAAAAAATCGAAATAGAAAGAAATGAAAGCGTAATATACCTGTGTCAGCAGTTCGTGTGTAATCAAACTTGATGTCATTTAATTCACGCTGTTGATTCCTCACACGCAATACCTATGACACAGACATTTCATAACTCTCAACAAGTATACCTATAACAACGATTCATGATATGCTACATACAGCTAACCATTTATCCATTTGATTCACTTCCCACATAAGTGAAAAAAACTTTTCAAATACGCTGGAATATTCTGCTAAACACAACCTTTTATGCTGTGCAAAATAAGTGAAAGATTTCCCCAAAACTGCAAAACTTCCCCATTATAAAATGCTACTTCTTAGCCATGTCCAAGGAATCTGAATTCCAAAACAATAAGTGTGAATAAGGATAAGAAGTTAAACAATAAAAAACCCGTAAACAGCATGAAAAACAGCTTAGGATGAAAAACGTACAAGGTTGAGTGTTTCACCCGCAGCACCAGCGTCTTCAGTTTTAGAGTTAGCCATGGAGTTCACTTGAGTTTTAGCAGAGTGCAAATCATCGTCTTCGCTAGACTCGCTACCACCAGGTGAATCATATTCGAACTCCCAATTACCGTCTTTATCCTTCCGCAACTTTCCTGATGCCACCGAAAAAAAAAATAATTGAATTGTTCTACAACCATGAAATGCAAAAGAATTTTAAAAGGGCTATGAATATAAACAACCTTCCACGACCGACTTTCTATTAACCTCGGCATTGATCAAGTAATTCTTCGTATTTTTGTTGAGCAAACGCGAGGTGTTA